AAATCATTACAATCAAATCTGATCTTGGCAGATGTTGATACCGAAGACGAAGATGTATTAGAAGTTCAAACTGTTGCCGATGATCTACCTAGCAATAATTGTCTGCGTGTTTCAGATATGACTAAACTTTCCATTAACTTTCATGACGTGAAAAACGTAATCAAACCTTTCGATGGTAGTGAATATTGTTCTATCGATAAATGGCTGGTTGCATTCGAAGACTTTGCTAAAATGATGACTTGGTCTGATTTACATAAATTTATATTTGCAAAACAATCCTTAACAGGGTTAGCGAAATTATTTGTTGAAAGTCAAAGCGGTATTAATTCCTGGGATAAATTGAAATCGGAATTAAAAGCTGAATTTGGCAGTAAATATAACTCAGCGCGATTGCACGGTATGTTGGCTAAACGCCAAATGCTCCCCAATGAATCCGTACAAGAATATTTCTTTAAAATGCAAGAACTCGCTAGTCGTGGAAAAATTGAGCCTGACGGGTTGATCGAATATGTTATTTCTGGTATACGTGACATACCCAGTAACAAAGCGATGTTATCCGGAACAGATAAATTTGACAGAATTTCGTGAAAAGTTGAGAGTATATGAGAAGATCCGGTCTACATATTCTCGTTCGTTTCAGTCTAAACCGAATCTACGTACAGAGCATCGAAAACCCCAGCCTTATCGAAATAAGCATGACGGTAAAACTGTCGAATGTTTTAATTGTAATGAAATTGGTCACATTTCGTGTAATTGCTCGTATAATCCGAAGGTATTAGATGTTTTAAGTGCACAAAATTCGGCCATAAAGCTAACGCTTGTCCTCAAAAAGAAGTAAACAAAATGGAACTAAGTCATTTCTCTAGATCAGGGGTGTCCAACCCGCGGCCCGCGGGCCGCATGCGGCCCAAGGCAAGTTCCAATGCGGCCCAATAAAGGTGTAAACAAAACCGACAAATGTTTTAATTTTTTTATTATTTATTTATTTCAACGGCATAAACTCAAAAAAGAAGTTTCACAAAGCCATAAACCTTTATTCATATTTTAGTTTTGAGTGGAAATGGAATATTTTCATGTACTTGAAGATGTTTGAATGAGGAAGGATTACTAAATAAAGCTGGAGTTGTGACTCAAAGGATTATAGACCCAAATTTGGTGAAAGGAGAGAAAGAACAAAAGATGAAAAGTTCTCAGAAAGGTTAAATAGTTCTTCTGTTGGGCAAATATTGAGTCTTAATTTTCCAACCTTTCTCACTTCTTTATCTTTTGTCTTTTCTCTTCTTTTTCCGAATTTGGCTCTATAATCCTTTGAGTCACAACTCCAGCTTTATTTAGTATTTCTTCCAGCGTTGCAAGATTTGGCTACATTGCGCCAAATGTGGCTACTATTTTTAGTTTGATGTAAAAAAATATCATTTGGTGCTTTGGCTACTTTTGGGCTACATATCATTTATAAATATATTAGTTGAATAAAAATGCACTTTAAAATGGTGTTTCGTCGCGTTTTGTTTAATAGACTCAAATTAAAAGACTCAAATAAAACAAATATTTGTGTTTTTCAAATAAATTTTCGTTTGACTCTTTTATAATAAATGAATTTATCTATTTCTAAGTAAAAATTGAAAGTGTCTGTAGAAGTAATTTTTTAAAATATCCTGTTTCGTGATGAAGTTTTAATACTTATTATTATAATCTAGTCATGATAATCCTTAAATATACTTGTATATTGGGCCACAAGTATATATAATATATACTTGTGGCCCAAAACTTTTTGACTTCTTGCAATGCGGCCCAGAGAAACAAAAAGGTTGGACACCCCTGCTCTAGATGTAACAACAAAATTGAAACGGATGTTGAAATCCTAGGTGCAAAAACAAAAGGACTCATCGACACCGGGTCGGAAATAACGATGATACTAAGGCATTTTTATTATAAAGTGGGGACTCCGAAATTAAACTCAGATGATGCATCTTTAATTGGATTAGATGGGAATAGTATTTCTCCGTTAGGTTTCTTCGAAAGTGAAATAAAGATTGACGAATACTCTCTTCCTGCAAATATTTACGTGGTAGAAGGTGATTTGTGTAATTCTGTAATAATAGGAATAGATGTTCTGAATAAACTGAACTTCTCTATAACAAACTACGGATCCAAAGTCATGGGGAAACGAAGTCAAAATACTATTCGTGTTAATTATGCTCGAATTTTTGTTCCCGATGGAAAGTCTGCGGCTGAATCAACACTCATTAGATCAGATGACGCCTCTAGAAAAGAACAGACGTTCCTTTCGCATTCCACTGAGTGGGGAGAGGGAAACGGTTTTCAAGACACTAAATCACTTGGTGAGCGCCCACCCCTTGTGGTTAGTGACACAAACGATTTCGGCAGAAATAAAAAAGAAAAGTTTACTTCCAAATCTGATACATTTTCGTGTAAGCGTTGCAATGAAATCAAAAAATGCAATCAAGTCAAATCAAGTCAAATCAAAAATGCAAGATTAAACCGTTTTAACCATGCTTCGTTCACCGACGACAGGGAGTATGATTTAACTGACGCCTCAGAAGTTGAGAACGAAAAAACATGCTTTTTAGGTCAATTGGCTTATGCGACAGATTGTTGTCAGATAGATTTAAGTCACATTCTGGATAGAAAGCAACGACAGAATTTGATGGAATTAATTACAACCTATGAGCCAAATAAGGTTAAGGATACCGGATTGAAGATGCAAATTATTTTAACTGACGAAATTCCCATTAGTCATCGCCCACGTAGAATGTCATTCGAAGAACAAAAAATAGTAGAAGACCAGATCCAAGAATGGTTGGACGATGGCATAATCAAACCTAGTTGTTCAGATTATGCTGCGCCAATAGTTTTATGCAAAAAGAAATATGGCAAAATTAGACTGTGCGTGGACTTTAGAAAGTTGAATCGGAAAACGGTCAGAGATCACTTCCCCTTGCCTTTGATTGAGGATGTTATAGATCGTTTGGAGCAATCAAAAGTGTTAACGTCGCTCGATTTAAAAAATGGATTTTTCCATGTTGACATTGATGAGAAATGTAGAAATTATACCTCTTTCGTTACACACGAGGGCCAGTAAGAATTTCTAAAGGTTCCTTTTGGCTTGTGTAATAGTCCAAGTGTATTCCAACGTTATATTTACCATGTGTTTAGACCATTGTTACAAGATAAAACTGTAGTAATTTATATGGATGATATCCTAATATCGTCATCAAATGCACAGGAAGGTTTAGAAAAATTGAAGCATGTACTAAAAGTAGCTTCAGAATATGGGTTGGAACTTAATTTCGAAAATTGTCAATTCTTAACGAAGTAGAATTTCTCGGCTATGTCATCAAAGACGGAGCAATTAGACCTTCTCTGACTAAAACAGCAGCCGTTCAAAAGTTTCCACAACCCAAAACCGTAAAACATGTTCAAAACTTTCTAGGACTCACGGGTTATTTTAGGAAATTCATTCCCCACTATTCGAAGGTAGCGAAACCCTTAAGCGGTTTGCTTAGAAATGGTGTAAAATTCAAATTCGGTCCAGAACAACTAGAAGCATTTCAAAAATTGAAGGACATACTATCACAAAGTCCAGTTCTCCATATTTTCAAGCGTGGCGCTCCATTAGAATTACATACGGATGCAAGTTGCCTCGGGTTCGGAGCAGTTTTGCTACAAGAAGCTGACAACGGAAAGTATTACCCGATCAATTATATGAGTAGGAAAACATCACCTCAGCAAGAAAAATATAACAGTTACGAGTTAGAAGTACTGTACTAGCTGTAATTGAGGGCTTGAAAAAATCTCGAAACTATTTGTTGAGTTCCAAATTTAAAATAATTACGGACTGTGCTGCGTTCCAACAAACACTCGGGAAGAAGGATTTTACTCCAAAACTAGCAATATGGTCTTTATTACTTGACGAATTCGACTATGAAGTTGTCCATAGGAAAGGCAGCCAGATGAAGCATGTGGACGAACTAAGCCGCAATGCAGTTTTACTAATTACGCGTTCTTCCGACAAAATAACAACAAGAATTGTTTCTGCACAAGATACTGATGAGGATATAAAAGCTCTTAAGGATTCAGTGGGAAAAGGAGAGACAAATGATTATTTACTGAAAAATAACGTTTTATATAAATACGAAAACGGACTAGAACTGTACGTTGTTCCCAAATCAATGCAAACTGACATAATGAAACACGTACATCGAAAAGGTCATTTTGCAGCGGCAAAGACGGAGAATCTTCTAAAATGCAATTTTTATATCCCAAACGCTAGAAAATACATAGAAAATGTCATACTGAATTGCGTCGACTGCATACTATATAATAGGAAAAGGGGGAAAGGTGAAGGCCTATTAAATCCCATACCAAAAGGGGACAGTCCTTTGAGCACATAGCATGTAGATTTTCTCGGACCACTACCCTCAACGAACAAAAACTACCAGCACATATTCACGGTAGTGGATAGTTTTACTAAGTTCGTGTGGTTTTACCCCGTTAAGTCAACAACTACACAAGATGCTTTGGATAAGCTGAGGATCCAACAGGCAGTATTTGGAAACCCGTATCGTATTGTCACTGATCGTGGAACTGCTTTTACTTCCAAAGAATTTAACGATTATTGCACCAACGAGATGATTGAGCACATTACGATTTCCACAGGTATTCCTAGGGGAAATGGACAGATAGAACGTATGCATAGCATCTTGATTCCCGTTTTGGCGAAACTCGCTCAAGAAGACGTTACAAAGTGGTACAAATATGTTTCGGACGTCCAAAGAATCATCAACAGTACGCCAACGCGTAGTACGAGATATACACCTTTTGAAATTTTGGTCGGTACCAAAATGAAAAATAAAGAAGATCTGAGAATAAAAGGGATTTTGGAAGAAGAATTTTTAAACTACGATGCAAGATAGAGACAAGATTCGAGAAGATGCCAAACAAATCATCTTGAAACTACAGGAGGAAAATCGTAAATCCTACAATAAAAAAAGAAAACCAGCTCCCAAATATCAGGTCAACGACCTTGTTGCCATTCAGAGAACTCAGTATGGGACAGGACTCAAATTAAGACCTAAGTTTTTTGGACCTTACAAGGTTACCTCCACGATGCCTAGAGACAGATATGCGGTTGAGAAAATTGGTCATCACGAAGGGCCCAATGTGACTGTTACTGCAGCCGACCATATGAAGCCATGGCCCATTGATCTTGACTGATATCAAGAACTTTTCTAAAACATTTCTAACCATATTTTTTCTTGTGTTGTGTTTTATGTTTGTTTTGTACAGGTGTTTTTAGTCTTTCGGTNGGCCATCCTGCAGATCACTCTGTCCTCGGAGAGATTACTGGAAAACTAAAAAACAACACACACACAAAAACATAAGAACAAAAAGAGAAAATACGATTATAAATCTTTTTCAATAAATAAAAAGACAGTCAATTCCAAAAAATTTTTGTTAAAACTTTGGTCGATCACCTTTTATTTCCGTTAAAATTCCAGGATAAACTTCAGCGACCGACCTTCCTTTTTAGGCTACACGGTCGCCTTAACAGTCCTTTAAAATACAGAAATAATCCAATAAAACCTTGTAAAAAAGTTGTAAAAAATTGGAGTTGGTGATCTTTTGATGATTTTTTACAACTTTTTTACAAGGTTTTATTGGATTATTTCTGTATTTTAAAGGACTGTTAAGGCGACCGTGTAGCCTAAAAAGGAAGGTCGGTCGCTGAAGTTTATCCTGGAATTTTAACGGAAATAAAAGGTGATCGACCAAAGTTTTAACAAAAATTTTTTGG